CGTTACTAAATAAATTACTAGTAGTACGTACTTATTACTATATATATACTATATAGTATATATACTATATATATACATACACACACACTACACACACATATCTCTGTGTGTGTGTGTGTGTGTGTGTGTGCGAGCGCACACATTTGTATGTATGTATAGATTCACATACACTAATATCAATACCTAGCTGTCATTACATAATTTACTAAAGTATAAATATTAAATATTTTTAAAAGTCAACTATAATGGTTGTTAGACACCTGTGGTCTCCAAAAATTGTAGAACATATTTTGCAACTTTTGAAAATACTGTTACGGATATACTTCGCTAAACATTTCTAAAGTAACAAATGGAAGCATATTACAATGATTATTTTTAAAATTAGTCCTGGAGAAATCTAAAAGAAGAATTGTCTGTAAAAACATTTTAAATTAATCATAAGCAGTCATAAGAATCACTGAAAACAACCTTCTTGACCTCACCAATAGCATTTGACAATTCCATTGGAAACTAAGTGCTTCAATCCTCAGGTAACAACACTAAGTGTTCCTGAAAACAATTCATAACACTGGAGTAATCTTGAAATAAGGAAGAAACTTTTTTTTCTTCTAACTAGCACTGATACAGCTCAATCATATGTGGCTTGAAAATATTCTTGAAATACAAAATTAACAACTCGGATGATTTATCAAGTTAACATTTTAAAGAGAGCATTAAAAGACACTGGATAACAGTTCTGTACATGTATAATGATCAAAAAGTTTATATTCTGAGTATTAGTGAAAAATGTTTTCCTTAGTAGACACTGCCTCAAAAAAACTTACGTTTATAAATCTGAAAATAATTTTCCAGGTTCCAAAAGAATAATAATAAGAAAGGACATCAGGAACTGTTATTTTAGATATCTCTTAGTAAAACTGTGCAAACACCTATGAAAATATATTTGTTTATCACCATAAAAGTAACCACCATCACCCCATATACATACACACAGTGATCTTCTAAAACGATGTCTTGAATATTGATTTACATATTTTTCTGGAATAATTAGATATTGTTTTTGAAAAGAAAAAAAAAACTCTAAGCCTTCTGCAGTAGAAAAATTAAATGGTTTATATGATATAGAATTAAATTGAGTAAAATTAGCTTCACACAAGCACAATATATATTTTGGCTTCTCATGGAAAGTAGCTATTAAAAATAATACTACCTGGATTCTATCTAATGGATCATCACATTCATTAGCTTTTTGTAACAAGAAACTGTATTCCATGTACTCCGTGAGCCGCTGGAGAAAACTGAGTGGTTCATTGAACACAACTGGCATGGTAATCTTTGATAAATCCTAGAAAACAAGCCATAATTCAGAATTTATTCTATACAATTAATAAAATCACTGCCAAAATGAAATATTGCTGCATTTTTTCAAAGATAGCCTAATTCAATCTCTTAGTTGATGTTTTTGTCAAAGTTGTAGGAGAAATACTAAAGTGATTATAATGTTAACATTAACTGATGCTGGATTAGAATAGTCAAAATATTCATTCAGTACACTCATATCTGATTGTTGTGTATATAATCTACATACCAGCTGTGCAGTTTACCTAGTCAAGCTTAAAATATTGTCCCTCTTCCAGTGGAAATAATAAAGATAACCATCAGTAGAATGTCTGAGTGTCTTTTTTTGTTTTTATTCCTTATATTGATATTGTTACGTCTCCGTTCGTTAATTAACTTTCCGTTACTTTGTTCCGACTAAACTTAAGCGACACAAGTCCTTACTTAATAAAACTGGTTTATTCTTTCCGAATATAACTTTACGATACACTTAATTTCAACAATCGCGCTAAAACAAACACTATAACAACAATCTGACTGCAGACCAATTACACACTGTCTACTCACATATTATTGTCTCGTCACGTTGTCACCCTCTTTTATATATACA